AAGGAAGGATGCCAGTGTGAATCCAGCCTGGGCCACACAGAAAGAGCCTAGAGAGAGAGAGAGAGAGAGAGAGAGAGAGAGAGAGAGAGAGAGAGAGAGGACAGACACAGAGAGAAGAGACACAGAGAATATCAGCATCTTTCTCCCCTCCTTTTCTTTGCCCGTCTCCCTCCATTTCTCTGAGAGAGGGTCTCATGTGTCCCAGGAAGGACTCTATCACATCTGGTTAAGGTGGTGCTGAGGGCAGAAGCCCAGGTTTTATGAATTCTAGCCTGGCACTCTACCCTGTTAGTTACATGCTCAGCCCTGTTTATTTGTGACTAGAGTTTTATCTAGGGAGTCTGTCCCGGAACTCACTCTTCAGACAAGGTTGGCCTCGAACTCACAGAGATCTGCCTGCCTCTGCCTCCTGCGAGCTGAGATTAAAGGCGAGCGCTGCCGTTGCTCAGCATGATTTTGTTTTTTGATGGAGAGTCTCACTACTGATATCACAGGCCTGGAACTCTTTGAATTCACTGGGCTAGCCTTAAACTTACAGCAATCCTCCTGTCTCTGTTTCCTGAGAGCTGGGGCTAGGATGACAGGTCCTCCTGTCTCTGTTTCCTGAGAGCTGGGGCTAGGATGACAGGCATAGCCACTACTCATTTTGTGTGTGTGTGTGTGTGTGTGTGTGTGTGTCTGTGTGTGAGTGTGCCAGTATGTGTCTGTGTGTCTTTCTGTGTGCATATGCGTGTGTGTCTGGTTCTTTCTTGGGTCACACTATGGCAGCCCTGGCAGGGCCACATTTCACTATCTAGACCAGGCTGGCTTCAGATTCACAAAGATCCATCTGCCTCTGCCTCCTGAATGCTGAGGTTAAAGGCGTGCATCACCACTGCCAGGCACTCCCAGGATTTCCTATTTGCTTCCTGATATTTAGCATCTTTTTCTTTTATTCTTCCTGGTTCAAAGACCTCACAAGATTTCCCAGTACCAAAGTCTTCGTGGCATCCTAGATGGATCCTAGAGCTTTGGGTTTTACTGTTTTGTTTTGTTTCTTTATTTGTTTGTTTGTTTTTTTCTACTGGCTGCTCCTCTCTGAGCTGACAGAGGCATTGCACTTCTGAGTGCAAATTCTCATGCATCCTCTTTCTTTTTTTTTTAAAGATTTTATTTATTATGTATACAACATTCTGCTTCCATGTCTATCTGCGCACCAGAAGAGGGCGCCAGATCTCATTACGGATGGTTGTGAGCCACCATGTGGTTGCTGGGAATTGAACTCAGGACCTCTGGAAGAAGAGTCAGTGCTCCTAACCTCTGAGCCATCTCTCCAGCCCCACGCATCCTCTTTCTAAGACTGGCTGCTGAGGCTTCCTGTGACCTTTCTTCCCCCTGCCCCACACCCCATAAACACGGGCTACAGTTGTTAGTTGACAGTCCCCTCTTGTGGGGCCTTGGTTGCTCCCCCGGGTATTCAAGTGTTCTTGTTTTAGGGGAGGAGCCCTTACGTGTGCTAGTGTGCATGCCTGTGTATGTGCATGTGTGTGGAAGCCTGAGGACAGCTTCAGGTGCCCTTTCTTGGGTACCATCCGCCTTGAATTTTGATACAGGCTCTGTAACCAGCCTGGAATTTACGAAGCAGACTATGCTGGCCTGGTCAGAGAGCCCCACCAGATTCTCTGGCATTGGGATTACTGGCAAGCCACTATGGCCAGTTTTCCGGGGCTTCTTTGTGGTGGCTGGAGAGACAGCTGTGGATGCTGGGAACTGAACTCTTATAATTTTGGTTGTGAGCCTAGCACTATGGCCAGTTTTTATTTTATTTTATTAATATTTTAATTACATTTATGGGCCAGGCACAGTGGAACACATCTTTAGTCCCAGCACTAGAAAGGCAGAAGCAGGTGGATCTCTGAGTTCAAAGCCGGCCTGGTCTACCAAGTCACTTCCAGGTCAGCCTGGGCTATGTAGAGAGATACTGCCCCTACCCCCACCCCCCAAAAAAAAAACCAACCAACCAAAACTAAATATAAATATTTATTTTTGGTTTTTCGAGACAGGGTTTCTCTGTGTAGCTTTGGAGGCTGTCCTGGAAATAGCTCTTGTAGACCAGGCTGGTCTTGAACTCACAGAGATCCACCTGCCTCTGCCTCCTGAGTGCTGGGATTAAAGGCCTGTGTCTGGCTGGAGTCCATTTTGTACTGGTCAACTACTCACGGGCATGGAGCCCCTCCTGGAGGGTGGGTGATAAATCCATGACACCCCCCCTGGAGAAAGCTGATTTTTGCCCTTTCTCAGCAAGTTATCAGTTGCTTCTTGGTTAGGCACAGGACTTCGTGTCCACTTCCTTTTCTCAGTTCTGGGATTTTTGTGTGGTTATCTAGTAAATTAAAAAAAAAAAAATGTCTGGGTGTAGTGGCCCATGCCTTTAATCCCAGCATCTAGGAGGTAGAAGCAGGTGAGGTCCAGGCCAGCCAGGGCTACAGAGAGGCCCTGTCTCAATAAATGAATAAACAAGTAAACAAAGAAAGAAAGAAAGAAAGAAAGAAAGAAAGAAAGAAAGGAAGGAGGGCTGGAGAGATGGCTTGGCAGTTAAGAGCACTGACTGTTTTCCAGAGGATCCGGGTTCAGTTCCCAGCACCCACATAGCAGCTCACAACTGTCTGTAACTATAGTTCCAGGGGACCTGACATTCTTACACAGGCAAAACACCAAGAAAACATAAATAAATAAATAAATAAATAAATAAATAAATAAATATAAAATACATAGTTATTGTGTGTGTTCCTGGTGGAGTACATATGCCATGGTGTATATGGTTTGTAGAGATCAGAGGCAAACTTTGTGGTGTGAGCTTTCTCCTTCCATCTTCTCACGGGTTCCAGGAATTGAACTCAGGTTGCCAGGCTCACATGGCAAGTGTCTTTTCTTTTATTATTAAATATTTTGTTTATTTTTATGTGCATTGGTGCTTTGCCTCTGTGTCAGTGTGAGGGTGTCCCGGATCCCCTGGAACTGGCTTAACAGGTAGTTGTGAGCTGCCATGTGGGTGCTGGGAATTGAACCTGGATTTCCCGAAAGTGATTCTTAACTGCAGAGCCATCTCTCCAGCCCCACAGCAATGTCTTCATCCAGTAATCCATTTTATCAACACCAATCAATACATTCTTAGAAGCAGAGCTCCAGTCAACTTTTACCACGATGCAGGATTGACCCACGTCTTTCCACAGCCGAGTAAATTGCTCTACCATGGATAACATCTTGACAAGAGCATTAACCTCAAGAATAGGTACAAGGCTGGGCATGAGGGCACACACCTTTAATCCCAGCACTCGGGAGGCAG